GGTATTTTAAAAACACCTTGAAGAATCATAAGAGCCTTCATTAAGTGATGGAGAAACAATTATGTAGGCACAAAGTGAGTTTCTCAAGGAACAGCATCCCCCAAAGGAGAGAGAGAGCTTCTGAAGGGAACATGGACATAGGCAATTACTGGGATAGAATTACTGTACTTTAATTCTTATATTGTTATTATAGCTATTTTAATTGTTTGTTTATTGCCTTATTGAATAATTGCTTACTGTATGTTTTTATCATTGTAATTATGTTATGGTTGTATTTTAACTGTTTTTTACCATCGGAGTGCGCTCTGATATAGAGCGCATTATTATTATTATTATTATTATTATTATTATTATTATTATTATTATTATTATTATTATTATTATTATTATTATTATTATTATTATTATTATTATTATTATTATTAATACATGTGCAATTCACCTGTGCAATTTTTTGTTACCAGGCATCCTGTCTGTCAAACTTACATTACCGTAACTTTACATTATGCTGGCATGAAGAGAATACTGCCCCATATGCTTACCTTGCCCTCTCTTTTAACAATTGTCATTATTGGTTGTAAGGCAAACACAAGGGCCATCCATATAAAACTTGTAATTTATGCCGCATATCAAAGGTCTTTCCTTACTGCAATCACCCTTATCTCTGCCACTCATTCCCCATTTGTGCTTAGTGTCAATACAACTTCCCTCAAGCCTCTATGTCAACTGTAAGATACAGTCATTTTTCCACTACTGAAAATTGAGTATTTCATAACAGAGAAAGAGCAGATACCTCACCTGGGTTACTGAACTCAATACCTCAATGAAGAGCGAATGCACATAAATTATTTTGTGAGTGATGGTCAGTATTTGTTATGTATTGAAATGAGAAAGTGAAAATTGAGAAATACGTTGCTTCTTAAAAATTGTTTCAGAAATTTGTATTACCGTATTTGCTGGCGTACAAGATGACTTTTTGGGCCCAAAAAACATGCCTCCAAGTGGGGGGGGGGCCATCTTGTACGCCGGGTGCACTGAATGATGCAGGACCGTGCTGGCTGGGGAGGAAGGTGGGCAGGCAGGCAGGCAGGGAGGCAGTCAGTCTGTATGGAGGGAGGGAAGCACAGCCTGCCATGCCTGAGCGGCCAGAGCCCGCCGCTGGGCTGCCCGCCGCCCCGTGCCGCTGAGCCAGCTGTGCGTTCGGTCACCCGCCACCCGCCCGTTTCCCTTTTCCTCCTCTTCCTCCTCCTCCTCCTCCTCAGCCTCTTGC